TGAGTTGCTGTCTGTTATCCTCCGTGGAAGTTAATGAGGAATGCACCACTCATTTCCCAGGTATACTGGGAGATGAGAGAGGAGGTGACAGGTTAGTTCTCCCCATTACGTTGGGTTTCTTATAAAATGCATTTATCATCCTCCTTGTGTCCTCATCTTCTTCCCTTCTCTTCTCCTACTGTATCCATTCTTCTCCATACTGCCTCTCCCTGTCCATTCCTATTTCCCTATGTATCTCCTCTCAAATCTCACTTGTCCAGTCCCAGTTCAAATGCCAATGTTGCATTTAGTCCTTTCTCATTTGTCTCTTACTTTCCCAGGTGATCATACCCCACCAAAACTCAATCTCCCTCTGCCATCTCCCTTCTGCGCTTCTGAGAGGCATATTGTAGATAGGAGCCTTTCTACAGATCCAAAGTAAATGCCTCTCTGGTTTTGAAGCTGCTAGTGATTTAGAGGTGAGTAGTGCCAATCTGGGACCTTCTAAACTCAACTAGCAAAGACCAATGATGCCTGCGAGGCCACTTTCAGCTTGCGGTATTTACTCAGTGAGTGAGTGATAACTTATTTGGAAGCCAAACATTCTAGTCCCTTAGAAACTTGCAGGCCAAAGGGCAAGCCCCATTAAGAGATGATTAGTTGTCAGAGGCTTTTGGCTGCATTAAATATTGAAGGGACTCCAAGACCTCCTCATCACACCCTACGCTCCATTGCTTTGTTTCAGCAGTTTTTCCTGATGTGTTCCTTAAAAATTCATGAAAGCTGTAAACTTTAAGGAATAGCTAGACCTTATTTATTTATTACATGTTGCATCTGTAATAGGAGGTTAAAAGCAGGAGAAAGAAAGAAATAATGTCGGCCAGGTGCAGTGACTCACGCCTGTAATCCCAGCACATTGGGAGGCCAAGGTGGGCAGATCACGAGGTCAGGAATTCGAGACCAGCCTGACCAACGTAGCAAAGCCCCTACTCTACTAAAAATACAAAAATTAGCTGGGCATGGTGCTGCACACCTATAGTCCCAGCTACTCAGGAGGTTGAGGCAAGAGAATCCCTTGAACCCTGGAGGTGCAGGTTGCAATAAGCCAAGATCAGACCACTGCACTCCAGCTGGATGACAAAGCAAGGCTCCATCTCAAAGAAAGGAAAAAAGAAACAATGTCCACAAAATCTTCCCCTTGGAGAAGAACCTGGAGCCATTGTGCGCAATGACCACATCCAGGAAGATGAGAACTCTCCTATTACAAAGAGTCACACGGGGCTTCTGGGCGCATGGCTACTGAATCAGGGGATACTTTGTGGGTAGAAACAGAGGCTCTTCTGCCTCATCTCTCACTCCTGAATGAACACGGCTCAGGGCAGGTAAGGAGGAGTGCTGGTACTAGGTTCATCTCCCTCTTTTGTGCACTGGAAATTCATTACTGCCATTCCTGGAACTGCTGTTACTTGCAGCCTAGGACATCCTTCAATCTGGTCACAGACATCAAGTAATGACTTAGTAACTTCAAGGCTAAGTATTTTTGCTTAGTCAAAGAGAAGAGATGCTAGGCTTTAATGCTAACAATATTTTATCAAATACTTTTTACATCATTAAATATCTGTCCTTCCGAAATAAGGCAAACTATCATCTGTTTTGAAGGGACAGATCACAGGGCTATTATGGCTATTTCCTGACACCTGGACTCTAGATAAGGCAAATCTATACAACATTTCCATTCCGATTTGATTGTATTTTTTTCTGCTGTGAAATAATGATGAAAACAGAAATGATGATAATAACTCTACCTGATGTTTGTCTATACTTTGTGCTTTTCATAACATTTCCACAGCTCTTCAGTCTATAACAATTGTGCTAAATTCTAAATATTATTGCGAAGAGCGGATATTAGAAAAATTTCTTTCTTTGAAAGAAGCCAGACTCAAAAGGCTTAGGTGATTCCTTTTACATGATATTTTAAAAAGACAAAACTACGGGGCCGGGCGCGGTGGCTCAAGCCTGTAATCCCAGCACTTTGGGAGGCCGAGGCGGGTGGATCATGAGGTCAAGAGATCAAGACCATCCTGGTCAACATGGTGAAACCCCGTCTCTACTAAAAACTACAAAAAATTAGCTGGGCATGGTGGTGCGTGCCTGTAGTCCCAGCTACTCAGGAGGCTGAGGCAGGAGAATTGCCTGAACCCAGGAGGCGGAGGTTGCGGTGAGCCGAGATCGCGCCATTGCACTCCAGCCTGGGTAACAAGAGCAAAACTCCGTCTCAAAAAAAAAAAAAAAAAAAGACAAAACTACGTAGCTGAAAGAAGAGGAGAGGAGGATTTGCTTTAGTAAGGCACATGGGCAGCCGGAGGATGATGGAAATGTTCTACCTCATGGTTGTGGCAGCAGCTAAATGACTGTGTTTGCCAAGACTCACAGAACAGTGTACTGAAAAGAGTGAATTATACTATGGGTATATTATTCTTCAATGAGCCTTCCTTAAAGATAAATAAACAAAGCTCTTAGGACAACTCCTGGCACACAGTAATGTACAACAAACCTCAGCTGTTATAGTTATCCTACGTATCTGATTCTCCACTAATCCTGTGGGGTATGTCAGGCACGTTCTTTTATCCCAACGTAAGAGATGAGGAATCTCAAGGAACCGACCCAAGAGCACATAGCTAGAAAGTAGAGAGTCTAGGTCAAGACCATCTCTCCAAAGGCATTGTAGCTCAAGTCTGACATGGACTCAGCTGCAGGGATGGGAAGGGCTCTCTGTCTTAGTCTGCCTGGGCTGCCACAACAAAGTTCCACAGATCAACAGAAATTTATTTTCTTACAGTTTTAGAGGTTAGAAGTTGAAGGTCAAGGTTCCAGCCAATTTGGTTTCTGCAGAGGGTTCTCTTCCTGACTAGTAGGTGGTTGCTTTCTCGCTGTGTCCTCACACAGAAGGAAGAGAGAGCAAGCAAGAACAAGAGAGAACTCTCAGATGCCTCTTCCCATGAGGACACTCATCTTATCGGTTCAGGGCCCCACTCTTATGACCTCATTCAACCTTAATATTTCCTCAGTCTACATCTCCAGTTAGAGTCATACTGAGGGTTAGGACTTGGATCTATAAATTTTGAGGGACACAAATATTCAGTTCATAACACTCTCCATGCTCATCCCTCCCTTCTGATTCTGGTACAGTTCAGGGGAGCAAGAACAGCTCTGAACACTGAGAGGTGGACAGTTCTGGTTCAGAATCCAAATCTGTGGTCCTTTATCAGATCTTCACATTCCCAAGTGAAGACCCAATCCTCCCGCTCCCTTCTCTTCCTGAGTAACTCTTGGTGGCTTCCTATTACCATCTCATTGTAGAGCTTAGCAAATGGCTAAAACCCGCTATTGTTCTACAGCAGCCCTCAGATTCAGTTCAGTTCAAATGCAAACCTTAGAGCAATCTCTTCCCTCACCCTCCTACCTGCCCTTTTATAGGTTCCCTGGGAGTGGCTAAGGGAGTGAGGAGGCTCTGGCATTCCCTAGTGAGGTGGATACAGGGGCAGAATGGCTTCCTGGACTCCATGTTCCCCATGTTACCTCCCAAATGGGTTTCATTTTCCCCATGACATAGGGGAAGGTCCACTGCCTGTGTACTGTGTATAATTTAAACAGCCAAAGACTCCTAGTATTATAAGTGATTGTAATTTCATCTTATTTTACATTTGGCTTTAATGAGGAGCAAATAAATCTTCTCTCAGTATAGCATTAAGCTTAAATCACACAGAAGTTTTAGAATTACATTTGGATCTAGAAACAATGATACTTCATTGTAAGAATAAAGTAAAATTAGATAGTTACAACATGGTCTTCCCCTCCCCCTGATAGCCCCGCTCCCCAGTAACTCTTAATCTTTATAGGGAGTTTCCCAAGTGGATCGATGGAAGAATGAAACCCTTGGAAAGTTCTAATAGACCATGCTGCCTGGTGTGAGGTAACTGTGTTTACACATCACTCAGCAATGGGAAATTGTACATTCCAAAGATGTACATTTCATCAAACTGTCCTTTTAAAATGTTCAATGCTACTGAGCTTTTTATGACCTCCTGAGCATTATGTTTTGAACCCAAGAGACCATCTAACTTTTAGCGTTTGAGACAAAAGCGTTGCACCCTTTGATGGTGAAAAGTCATAAAGACTACCAAGGTGATGAGAAAAGGTAACCAGGAGAGCAGGAGCAATATATATGTGTGTCATTGTCTATGTTACGGTGATGACAGTATGCTGGTTTAGTACCAAAACTCCAATGTAAGACTCTTCCTATAGAAGTTACTCAGACAGGCTGATATTTCAGGTAGCTTTTAGAAAAGGAGGTATGCAGTAATTTGTCAACAGAGCCAGAAAAGCAAAGGCTTCTCTGCATTAGAAACAGCACTCTCCATATCATCTGTGACTGCAGTCATGATTGCTGTCCTGGGTGCATCCTGCCCAGTAAGCAGAGAGAGTAGCTGTCCCATCATAAATCCCAGCTTCTTCATTAATACTGAAGACTTTCAGAATCTACTTTCCACCATTAGGCTGAGATGAGGGCTTAATACACCAAAGCCAGTTAAAAATGAATAAGGTTTTCTTTCCTCTTAGCTGGGGAAGTTCATTCTGCTATGGTTACTGATGTCTGCCTTCACCTAAGTGTAACGATAACAAAAAACCACTTCTCTAGAGAGTTCTAAATGCCAACCTGGCATCATTATGGTTCTTCTCTGCTACCTCTGTGATATATGTAACACATAGCGATTGTGACCTTGGTTTGGAGGACATAATGAGTTCTTATGATGATTGTGAGAGTTAAGAAATAATAAAGTAACTTTCGCCTACTGAGCATGTACTTTGTGTGCCAAGCTCTGAGCTGAAGACATGACCTACATTTAAAACTCATTTTCCTCTTTAGATATGCTTGCAGATAAAATATACTCATGAAAAGTGCACTGCTACAAGCAGCTGCTATTTTGCGACTTTGAAACTGGAACGCAGTTTCTGACCAACTGCGCAGTGGTGAAGACTGGAAGCTCAGTGTTAGGGAAACCACTATAGCATAGCCTTGTGCTTCTCAAACCTTTCCACCAAAGCACCCCAATACTGCAGAAAAAGGTCAGCAGTTGAGGGACGGGGAAGTAACTGGGACCATGTCTGGAGCCCTAGCCCAGGTGTTTATGGCAAGTCTGGAATTTATTTAAAGTCTTACATTTCATTTTTAACATCAGATACAATTATTGCACTAGACTTCCTAATGCACTGTGAAAAGTAAGTTTATTTTGTGGTTTCATGAGCCTATGGTCTGGACACACCATCTTGGGTCCAAAGGCTACTCAGCCAGACTCCTGTTGGAGAAGCCTGGAAGCAAAGGGAATGAGCTTTGGAGTCTACAGACCTGGTTTCAAGTTCTAGATCAGCCACTTGCCAAATAGCTGAATGTAAATAAATCACTTGTCTTAGAGTCTGTCCATTGTATCCCAAAAGGGATGAAACCTATAAGCCTAAATCAAGCCTATAAACTTCCCCAACAAAGTTCTGAAGAGGTGATGTTTCCCTTGGAGAACAGCCCTATGGCTAGGACTTCAGCAAAAGGAAACATTCAGGCTGTAGCGCTGGAGTAAGAGCAAAACCCCCACCACAGCCTCTGATACAGCCCAGCTCCACTGCATGATCCTGACGGGCACCGTTCACGCTGCGGCCCAGGTCAATGCTCCCCTCCTCCTGGAGTTGTATGATGCAGTGAACTACAGTAAGGACCGGGGCTTCTTGTGCTTACAACTTTCCATGTGACTTTGGGGAAGACATCACCTCCCTTTAAGCCACAGGCTTTTATTCATAGAATCTGGGGCAATGATACTTACTGTGTCTTACCCGTGAGGTTCAAGTGAGGTAGTTGACATAAAGTACAGCTTCAGTGGTAGCAGCCAATCCGCATATGATAAATCACTGCTCTTGCTTCTTCGCACATATCTTTATTTTGGTACATTTCAACACACTTGTGTTTATACAGGCCTGCCCCACTGGGGTCGGGACTGTGGGTTGGTGCAAAAGTAATTGCGGTTTTTGCCATGAAAAGAAATGGCAAAACCGCAATTACTTTTGCACCCACCTATAGTTAGTGCTAAGTGCACTGTGGGGAAACAAAGTTGAAAGAGACAGGGTTCCTGCCCTCCAGAGTTTGTTCTACGGCCATAATGCAAGGTACAATCGATGCCATGGTGGAAATACAAACAAATGGCAGTGGCTTGTGATTGTCCCAGCACTAATGTGGTTTATCTCACTCCTTAACCTAGTGATGCTTTCAGTTTCCTTCTGCTGACAGGTTGATAACAGGACACCCAAACATTTGCCAGTGTGTCCAGAGGGTCATAGGAGAAGACTGCAAAAACTGGCTCATAGAAGACAGCAGGAGAGAAGGTTTTTCAAAAATATTCCCATTCCCTGCCTCCAGGTCCCAGTTCCAGTTACTCACTGAAGTTTTCTGTGAAGAAGGGGTTGGCCACAATGCCCCGACAGAGACTGCAATGGCTGAGCTTATGTACAACTGTGTGGCTAACGTTTAGAATCTAGCTATCATTTACTGCAGGCTTACCACGTGCTAGGCATAACCAAGAACTTCATACATCCAAGAACATTATACAGTGAATCACAAGCCTAGCTAATGTAGCGACAAAGAGATCATATCACTTAGGGATCCCCATCCGCTACATGTAACAGAGACAGTGGCTTAACCGTAAGAGGGACTTCATTTTTCTCACTTAGTAGAAGTCCTGAAGTATGCAGTCAAGGGCTTAGGGAATATTCTAAGATGTCCTTCCCAGGCCATGCTTCCAAGGACATCTCGAATCTGTCTACTTCTTTCCACCCTCATTTTGATAAATCTTCAAGTTCCATCATTCCTTCCTCTCCCTGTCCCCTGGGCTACTGCAACAATCACTCCCCATTTTCCTTCTGACCTTTTTCCAGTTCACGGTTAGTACAACAGCAGACTCTTCAATGACTTTCCATGGCCCTTAGTATAAAATTAAAAGTCGTCAGAGTGGCTGCTTGTACCCTGTTTGATCTTAGCGCCTTCACTGGTCTTATGCCTCTTTGCCCTTTCTTTGCAGGGTCCCCCACATTTTGATCTTTCCTCTGTTTCCTAAGCTCCCTTAGCTCTTTCTCATGGCATAGGTCCCTGAAATGTGCTTCTCTTCAATTTTTACCTTGCTAACTTCTACTTGTCCAACAGCACTTAAATATCATGTTCTAGGCATCAAAAGCAGGTTCCCTTGTTGGATCATAATGATTGATCCCTTTCCCTCACAGCCCCAGTCAGCTGTAAGAATATCCTTATTTCTGTGATTACATGTTTGCTGTTTCCTCCTGCCTCTAAATGATAACTTCATGGGAGACAGCACAGTCCAGCGCTGGGACGCTCAACAAATATTTGTCAAATGAATGGACTGCATGTGTTGCCCTAGGGAATGGTCTCAGGGGTGGACAATACTGTATGAAATAAGTATGGGAGGAGAACCAGCAGCTAAAACCAAAAAGGCAGCTTCCTATAAGCCCTAGTGGGGCTGCTGGAACTCCAGAGAATTGGAGCCCAGAGAGGTATCCAGAAGGGAAAGGCAAAAATAGACAGTGGCTGATCTGCTTTAGAGAAGGACACTGATGTCCAGGTGAAACTGTAAATAAGGAACAAAAACAGACATATGTTGTGCACAGGGTAATGAACATATAGGATACGTTACCAGGAAAGCCACTGAAAGCACAGATGAATGAGCCAAAGTGACCCCTCAGCAGAGAATAGTGTGAGAGGGAGCTGGGAGAAGTCAGTGAGAAGGGAAGTGCTGGGCGCCCTGTACCCAGGGGTGTCTTTCTTTTGATCCTCCTGTGGTATAGCATGATGCCCATCCTACCCTCACTGCAGGAAACCATCCAACTACAGCAGGCTCCTTGTAGCCCCATCAGAATTTCCCAGGGTGAGGCCTAGGGTTGGCAGTCTGTCTCAGAGGTAGAAGTGGCTCACCTTGATGGCTGCCTTGGCATGGCCCCATGTATGCTTAGCATGATGGCTGGAGAGCCTGAGAGGGCCAGCAGAGATTAACAAAAAGAGGTCTAACTTCTCCCAGACCAGCCCCTAGCATTACCACCGCCTCCTGTAGGAGCTCAATCCCCCCCCACCACTACAACTCCACAGCCTTAAATCAGGGCCACAGTGCTGTGCAGTAACGCACGTCGGGAAAAGACACTCTTCCCTCTTGCCAAACTCCCTCTCTCTCAATGGACTATTTGCAATACAACAGATAATAAGAGAAGCTATTATAATATCTTTAGAGTTCTTAAACCCTTATTGGAAAAAGTATAGGTTTCTTTTTTCTTAACCACAGAGTTGATAATCATTTGCTTGTTTTGATAACATTCACTTATTCAGCAAAAATATATTGAGCTACCTCCTGAGTGTGAGGTATTGTAGGCACAGGGGTCATGGATGTGAATAAACTCCACATCCTCATGGAGCTCTCATTTTAGTGGGAGATAAAGGTCATATGTGAATAAACAAATAGCCACACATAATAATTTCAGGTGGTAATAAATACTATGCAAAAATAGTAGAGTAAGGGGTTGGAAAGAACAGAGGAGCAGTTCTATTTTAGAATACATTTCAGATATTGGGGTCAGCAGGTGCAAAAGCCCCGGGGCAGGAACAATGTTTATGTGTTTCAGCAGCAAGGATTCCAGTGTTACTCAGGGTTGTCATTGGGAGGGTTCTGTGTAATAAACACAGCTACACTGGGATGTGTGTGTCTATATCTGTGTCTGTAGCTACAACTATATTTATATCTTTACCTCCACATTGAAATAAGTTGCTACTTCCAGGCAATGTTTTAAGGCACGTTGCATAATATTGTGAGGATTTCTAACAAACACATGGTCTATGGCCTAGCTATCATTACCATTTACTGAGTAGGGAAACAAAGACAAAGAAACCCAAGACCACTGTCAGAATCAGGTCCAAGACGGCGATGGAAGACAGGGGTTTCAAATCCTCTAGCCTTGCCTCTTTCTGTTTGACTTCAGCCTTTCCTTTAGCATCACTTCCCCAAGTCTGCCTGGTGGCATGGCCAGCTATGCAAGCCATCTAAGGCAATCATCAGCCATGTTTTCTGAGTCTTGCTCAGGAGGAAATCCCTTCCTCTCTGACCCAGAGAATTTGACAATGACATCATTGCACCACATCGATAACCAATCCTTTCTTTTGCAGGAAGTGACAGGTTCTAGGAAACAAAGTGGGTCTGACTGTGTGGGTGTCCCCTCACAGATCCTCAAGGTCCCAGCTTCTCACTAGAAAAGGGAAAAGAGCGGTAGAGGAGTCCTATTCACTACGCGTTCCTTCAGTGATTCTCAGAGCTCAGATCTCTAGGATACTAAGTTATGGCCTCCCTGGGACGTCAGTTTTGTGATTTATGTGAATGGTTTCTGTATACTTGTCTCAGTCAGTACCTAGGTAGGAGAATCCCTCCAAATTACCTTGTTTTTCCTGGTAATATTTCCCCAATATTCCACCCATTATGTGATCACATCACTGCTAAGGAGGTCACCCTTTGACTCATAAAACAATTTGAGCTGTCTCTGAGGAAGAAAGCTGCTTTTATGGTATCCTGGGAAGAAGAGAAGAGATTTCATAGCCTTGAAATCCTTAATGATGATCAGCTGGCATTCTTTTTTTGTGCATCTTCCTTTCTGCCTCTACTTAGAGCCTCTATTTCCCTTAGTCAACTCCTATTATTAGGTTTCTGCAAATTTCCTCCCAAGGTCTCTATCCCTGCAATTGCACTTTGTTTATATCAAAACATCTATTTAGGTACAGATCATTGGCATATAGGATACTGTATTAACTGGTTAATATGTACTTTAATTCATTTCTTGAAATAGGTTAAATGAAATACGTAAAGGTCGTCCAGCACCAGTATCTACTCTGAACACAGACTTGAGGATTATAGTTTTCTTTATCTGTGAATTTGTCTTTGGAGATGAAGCCAAGAATACTCCCAAGAATGGCAAGGCTGATATAGAATGAACAAGCAATTGCAAATTAACTGGAAACTGTAGGAAAAGGCAGAGATGATTTTCAACTTCAGTACATCAGACTTTGGAAAAATCTTCCCCTTTTCCAGTGGTGGTCTGTTTTCTGCTGACCCAAGGATTAAATGTCCTCAGATTTCATCTCTTTTTGAAAAATTCCTGTTCCTTCTTTTTTTTTTTTTTCTCATCTCCTTAAATAGCACCACCATCACCACCAATCACTCCTGTTTTTGTTCAAGCTCAAACCCTAGAAGTCCTCATTGATTCCTTATTGTCTCTTATCCCCATATCAAAGCCACCATCAGGCTCTTTCAGTCCTGCCTGAAGAACATACTCTGACTGCTTCCCCTTCCCCCATCTTCGCTGTTGCCACCTGGGCCAAGCTGCCACATTCTTTTGCCCAGGCCCCTGCAGCAGCCTCCTAACAGGTATGTCTGTTTCACTCTTGCTTCCTGTAACCCATTCCCCATACAGCAACTGGAGGATTCCTTTCAAAATGTAAATTGGCTCTCATCATTCCCCTGCTTACAATTCATCAGCATCTTCCATTGTGCTTGGAATAAAATCCAAACATCTTAGCAGGACCCTCAGTTCCTAACAAACACAGATGCGGCTCAGCTCCCTGCCCTCCCCGCCTGCATCTCCCCTCCTTGCCTACCACATGGGGCACACTGAAGGCCAGTTGGCTCTCTTTTCTCTTCCTTCTTTATTACCCTTAGAACTAGCTACAACTACTATTTGTATCATTTTGCCTGTCTTTTCTGTCTCCCTCCACTAGAACAAGCTTTGCTGGTCTTGTCTGCTGCCGTAGCCCTAGTACTCAATATAGTGCTGAGCATGCAGAGGTGTCAAAAGTTGTTGAAATGGATGAAAGAGTGAAATTTTCACCCCCCAGTGAGTCAGAGGCCCTCTAGGAAAACTCATCTCCGGAAGAGCAGCCATCACTACAGTCCTCACCTTTCCCTTCCTTCCCATCCGTCACGCTCCCTCCCTCCTGGACGGTCCCAGAGACTCGGATCTGCCCCTGGCTTCAACCAGGGAATGTGTGCTCCTGGGATTCATAACTTGAGGCACTTTGACCTACAAGATAATCTTATAAAAGGGGGTTTTATAATATAGTCATGTGCCACATAATGTTTCAGTCCGTGATGGACAGCCCATACAAGGGCAGTCCCGTAAGATGATGATACCGTCCTTTTACTGCACCTTTTCTACATTTAGCTATGCAAATGCTTCCCGTTGTGTTACAACTGCCGACGGTACTCAGTACAGTCCCACGCTGCACAGGTTTGTAGCCTAGGAGCGATAGACCACGATACACAGCTTAGGCATGCAGGAGGCTTTACCAGCTAGGTTTATGTAAGTGTGCTCTACGATGTTCACACCATGTGAAATCCTATAACCACATATTTGTTGGAACATATCCCTGTCATTAAGCAATGCATGACTGTATTTATATCCTTATATTTCCGCAAATCACGGTATTTATTATATCATATAGCTGACTCTCCTGTCTGTATTTCCCATTGAAAATTTCTCAGAGGAGGGACTCTGTTTTGAGCTCTCTGATATCTCTGTGCCTGGGACAGAGCCTGCGATATAGTAGGTCCTCAATAAACATGTTGAATGAGTTAGTACAAATGAACTAATACAAGTAATGAAGTTCTGTGATCTTATGCGTAAAACAATTTCCCATGAACTGACTGAAGTGCCTCTTTAAAAAATTGCTTCTACGTTTCAAATAAATGGTAAGCAAACAGAGTTTTGAAATATAAGTCAGTTGTCAGAGGGAAAAAAGAAGAAAGAAAGAAGAAGGAAGGGAGAAAGAAAGGAGGAAGAAAAAAGAAAAGGAAAGAAAGAAAAAAGGAAGGGAGAGAGGGAGGGAGGGAGGGAGGAAGGAGGGAGGGAGGGAGGGAGGAAGGAGGGAGGAGGGAGGGAGGAAAGGAAGGAAGGAAGGAAGAAAGGAAGGAAGGAAAAAAGAGGGATGGAAAGGAAGGGGAGAAAAAGGGAGGAAAGGGGAGGGAAAAAGAAAAAAAAGGAAACTCCTTCCTTTACACAAAGTAAATCCAGAACTACTAAGTTTAGCACTAAACTGGTAATCTCCCAGGTGGAGACTCCTGGGTGGGGTATGAGAAAACTGCCTTAGAATAGGTCCCTCCACCCTTTTTCTCCCACTTGTTTTTGTCTCACTTTAATTATGACTGCCTCCTTCATGCTGGCCTCCAGGAATGCACTGCATCCCTTTTTAATCTCACAAATGAAGCTTTTCTTGTTTCACTTTAGCACAGCTCAAGGTGAGCTGAATGGCTTTGCTAAGCTGTAAGGGTAAACAACAGGACAATAAACACTAAGGATACCACAAACAGAGAAATATTCTGCACAGGGTCCAGCCCTCTAGCAGGCTTTCTTGGGGCTGATTCACCAAGCTCACTCAGCTCCGTTCCCCAACTGTTACTCCAACTCAGCAGGCCACCTACCAGAGCCTGACCTGGCCTGATGTTGGGGGCATCATTTGTAGACAACCCTATCCACCCCCAGAAACGTATTCCTAGACATCTTGAGACCTTCATGGTCAAGACAGGGTGAGAGTCTCCTCTGTTCCTGCTGTCCCTGCCCCACTTGCAGAATGACCATCCTCTTTGTCTCAGGGGTCAGACTTTACCTTTGCACATCCATGTAACCAAACTTGAATAAAACCTAATACTGGAGCCATCGAATAACAAGAAATGTATATGCCGATGGCCAATTCTTTACAGTGTGTATTTAGTAAACCTTTCAGAAGATGAGAGAGTTTATTTTTGAGGAATTTGTGAAAAGCTTTTATCCGTTTGCTGAACACTTCAATGGTCACTTCATCACCTCTCTAAATTAAATCACTGAAGTTGCATCATTATTTTAAAGTGGAAAAGTGATTACCCCTGGAGTGAAAAATTAGGTTCAGCAGAAGAGGAACCCAAACTGAGCATTATAAAGTAAAATGCCACCAAGAGACACCAGCAGCACCTGGGAAGCTTCGTGCATCCACGCATGTGAGCTCACACCAGACGCAAACCTCGAGCCTTCATGGGCCAGGTGTTTCATGATCTTCACTAATGAAAACTCAGTCAATTAGAACTGGCCTCATTCTGATAGTCATCCTCTTGGGGTCTTCAGAAATTGTCAGGACGCTCACTTTGCATTTCTATCACCCAGGGCAGTAGGGGGTAAGCTTGTACTTAACTGGAGTTGAAACGGGCAAAGGTGTGGCTAAAAACCACCTTCCAAGTAATGAGGCAGTACTGCAAGGGGAATAATGCTCCACTCCTAGTCGCCAAGCGCAGGTCAAGAGCAGGCAGCAGCGAATATTCCGCAGGAAGATCTCATGTTTGCTGCAATCAGCTTTTCTGTCATGAATGGCTATTAGGTCATTAATTGCTTTAATATTCAAATGAGGGCAGTTGCAAAGTCCCCTTCCCCCGCACACCTCTGAAACTCTATAATAGGATACTAGGGGGTGTTTTCAATTGTCCCCTCCCTGCCCTATTTAGAAATTCTGGCCTTCAGATAAGGAAAAAGAAGCTGTGTTTCCTCCCTGTTCTAGAGAAGGCTCTGTATCAGTCAGGGCCAGCGGAGCATCTCACAGCTGGATCCAACTTCTGCTCCAATTATGGCACAGTCCCTATTATGGCCCACTACCTTAGATCCTCCTCCTCTCTCAGTCTGTGTGGGGAAAGAACTGAGAGGAGGAGTGAGCAAGAGAAATGGAGCTATTGGTCTTTTGATGGAAGGAAGGTAATTTACTCTCTTCCTTTCTCCTTCTCTCTGCTCCTCCATCCACAACTTGAAACCAAACAAGAAGCGCCTTCGAGAGAATTCCTCCTAAAGATTGAGGATGCTGTAATGAGGGTCGCTGGGACCTCACTGCGCATTTGAACTTGTGTGTACTGCAAAGGGAGCACAAAGGGACGGACAAAGATGGTGGAGGCGGGGGTCAGTGGCAGAGACCGCTTACCCACCATTTGGAAGGGCAAAGACATGTGAGTTTCTCACGAATAGGTGGGCACTGTTGACAGTGTCTACTTTTGAGCCTTTTTGTCTGTACCCTGGCTGTCCAAGGGTGACCCATGGAGACACTGGCAGAGAAATAGTGACAACAGAAAAGAGAATGACAACTGAGAAGTAACCAGATATTTATTCTTCATCCTCAATCCTCCTCCAGGTCCCAACCAATCAGGAGGAGCTGGCACTAGGAGAGGGAGAAGGGAGAATTCCAGGCTGTGACACTGGCTGGGAAAGCTTTGACTCTGATGTGAGAATAAAGTTTTAAACTAGACTCAATTGGTTCCATAACTAAAAGTGAACTGAAAATTTTGGAATCTACCTGAGATGCTGCTTAGTGGTGGCCATACTGGCCCTCCAAATGCTATAATGTGTACCAGTACACACCTATCACACCTATTAGAATGGCTAAAATCCAGAGCACCCCTGACAACATCAAATGTTGGTGAGGGTGTGGAGCGACAGGAACTCTCATTTATTACTGGTTGGAATGCAAAATGAAGCGGCCGTTTTGGAAGACAATTTGGCAGTGTCTTACAAAGCTAAACATGTTCTTACCATATGACCAAGTAGTCGTGCTCTATGGTATTTGCCCAAAAGGAATTGAAAACTTATGTCACACAGAAACCTGCACATGAATGTCTACACCAGCTTTATTCATAATTGCCAAAATTTGGAAGCAGCTAAGATGTCCTTCAGTAGGCGAATGGATAAACTGCAGCACATCTATACAATATAATATTATTTACAACTAAAAAGATGTGAGTTATCAAGCCATGAAAAGACATAGAGGAACTTTAAATGCCTATTATTAAGTAAAAAGAAGCCAATCTGAAAATAATGTCACATAGTTGGAATCAAGTATGATTCCAATTGTATGACATTCTGGAAAAGCCAGAACGATGGAGACAGTAAGAAAGATCAGTGGTTTCTAGGGGGTAGGGAGTTGGGAAGGATGAATAGGAGACACACAGAGGATTTTTAGGGCAGTGAAGCTATTCTATGTGATACTACAATGCTGGATACATGTCATTATACATTTGTCAAAACCCATAGAAAGTACATCAAGAATGAACCTAATGTAAGCTATGGACTCTGGGTGATAATGATGTGTCAGTGCAGGTTCACTGATTGTAACAAATGCACCGCTCTGCTGCAGGATGTGAATAGTGAGGGAGGCTGTACACGTGTGGGGAAGGGGGTATATGAGAACTCTACTTTCTGCTCCACTTTGCTATAAACCTAAAATTGCTCTAAAATTGTTTTGAAAATGTGCTCCGGTGAGGACATGGGATGTGACTGTGACTGAGGCTCAGTGGCCCAAGTTCCTCTCTTAGAATCCAAGACAGCTTCCATTCACGCCATTGAAGAATTCAGGAAGGGAGGTCCTGTCCTCTCCTCACTGTGCTTTCACCAGCATTTGCTGGGCTAAGGAGACTGTTCTGTAGAAACCGAGAACCTGAGCAGAGAACGTGAAAGTTGGCTTGGAGGAAACCCACGGGAAACAGTGGGGTGGAAGCTGGCATGGGGCGGTCTACCCACCCTCCCCAGGGTGGAAGTCAGTGTAGCTGGAAGTCCACTCTCAACAGGAAGCTGTGCTGTGCAGGAGCCTTGGAAATGGGCACACAGGGAGGGCTTAGGAAAGCGAATTTAGGGCAGGACCATTCTCACCAAGATGAAATTCAGTTTTACCATGACATATGCACACAATTCTTCCACATAGCACTTTTTAAATCTTATTTTAGAAACTCAGGCTTTTTCTAGTTTTAATTTTGAGAACTCAAGAGCTAAACTTGCCAAAGAGGATTACAAGGCTGTTGAGTGTATCAGTATAGCGGTAGTGCTGAGCTAGAATACATTCAAATGAGCAAGAATTGAATATTAGTGTGAAATGTCTTTAATTATAATGATTTGTGCCTTAATGGCCCAATATGATGGTAGTACCAGAGCTAAAGATATTAGAATACAATTTTCATCACAACAGTCCTCTTTTAAAGACTCTTAACAGACAATACAAAAAGAGAAAGGCTTCATAACTTACACATTGGAAGGAGTCACAATTGAGAACTCTGAGCATCTTATGCATGTTATCACAAGCTTCAAAGGGCTCAGGCAATTGTAAAAGAGAAAACTCTAATTTGGGGCCACCAAAAGTATGTTCAGTGGGAGGGGGATAAAACCGAGGCTAAAATAGACTTAATGAGCTGGCTTGGCGTTTAAGCTCATCCTCCTATATATATATACATAAGTCATCGGGTTCTCTTATGCAGACCAACGAGAGGGACTCCAGGAGGCACTAAAGAAAGAGTGCGCAGAAGGTGGACCAAGAACCTCAAGGTCAGATGTCAACAGAGAAGAGCCTCCTTAGCTGAGAGAAAGGAAGGCTGCATGGCGGATTCCAAAGAAGAGGCTGACAACATCAACTGCTGAGAAGATTCCATCTGGGACAAACTTTCACACATTGGTACTTCACTAAAATGACATCATCTGAGCCTTATTTACAGGCTCCTGCCTCCCACTGCTTAAAGATCTCCACACCGGGTGTCGGCTTCTCCACACCTCCAAGCTGAGCGTGCACAGGCTTCAGAGGAGTCCATCCGAGCTTTGTATCTCAGCATCAACAGGGAGGCACCAGTCCATGAGGTGAGAGGCAAGATGCTATGCAGCCAGAAGGGACCCGACAGAGAGCTATATATCACAGCAGGGGATGGAGCACAACAAAATTACCAGTGGTCCCAAAGTCAGGCAGAGCCAAGAGGCTCTGAAGCAGTGCGGGAGAGGCGGCATCTGCTATGGGAGCGGGGGGTGGGGTGTAAACCAC